CATTTAGGAGTGGGAACAATGACTTGTATAAAGAGTCAAAATACAGGTTTAGCAAGGTGGTGAGAGATGCTAAACGACTGTACTCTGAGAAACTGCAACACCAGCTCTCAGCAAGTGACTCTGCTTCTGTCTGGAGAGGCCTCAGACAGATCACCAACTACAAGCCTAGAGCCCCCCACTCCATGAATGACATCCGCCTGGCAGACGAGCTGAACGAGTTCTACTGTTGCTTTGACAGACAATGGGACAGCCCTAACTCCACCCCCCACAGCTCCATCAACCAGCCCCAGACCACCAGGTCCCCCTCCCCCAGCCCAGCAGGGGCCCATGCCTCTGTACCACCCATCACAGTGTCCCCCCCACCCCCTCCCCAGTAACGACTCTCTCTATTCTGGAGAGTGATGTCAACAGGCTTTTTGAAAAACAGAACCCCCGCAAAGCAGCCGGCCCGGACTCTGTCTCCCCCTCCACCCTGAAGCATTGTGCTGATCAGCTGTCTCCGGTGTTCACAGACATCTTCAACACCTCCCTGGAGACATGCCACGTACCAGCCCGCTTCAAGGTCTCCACCATCATCCCCGTCCCCAAAAAACCAAGGATCACAGGACTTAACGACTACAGGCTAGTCGCCCTGACCTCTGTGGTCATGAAGTCTTTTGAGCACCTTGTCCTGTCCCACCTAAAAAAAAAACCCTCACTGACCCACTCCTGGACCCCCTGCAGTTCACCTATAGGGCCAACAGGTCTGTAGACGACGCAGTCAACTTGGCCCTTCATTTCATCCTCTAGCATCTGGACTCCCCAGGAACCTACGCCAGGATCCTTGTGGTGTGTGGGCTCAGCTGCGGAGGGGAAGGAGTGTGGGAGTGGTTCAGGGAACGTTGCCAGGAAGGGACTTAATTAGGCGCAGCGCAGCTGAAACAGATGCTAATTGTCTCACTCTCGGATGTATTTAATCACCAGTAGTGACGGAGGCGCGAGAGACAGCTCGGGACGAGCGACAGTCATGCAGTGGGACGGAAAGGACGGGAGATCGCAGCAAACTCCCGCGGCATGTGCTCGGAGGCAAGGCAGGAGAGCACACGGCCAAGTCCAGTCTGATTGTGTGACAATAAAGAACATTTGAAAAAGCCATTCAACTGTGTGCTGGCATCATTGTGCTCCAAGACCCACTGGGTAGCAGAGAGCCTGTTACAATCCTGTTTGTGGACTTCAGCTCTGCCTTCAACACCATCATCCCGTCTTTGCTGCACGAAAAGCTCTCCCAGCTGCACGTGCCCGACTCCACCTGCACGTGGATCACAGACTTCCTGTCTGACAGGAAGCAGCACGTCAAGCTGGGAAAGCACGTCTCAGCCTCTCGGACCATCAGCACCGGTTCCCCCCAAGGCTGCGTTCTTTCCCCTCTGCTCTTCTCCCTGTACACCAACAGCTGCACCTTCAGTCACCAGTCCGTCAAGCTCCTGAAGTTCGCGGATGACACCACCCTCATTGGACTCATCTCTGGTGGGGATGAGTCCGCTTACAGGTGGGAGACTGACCATCTGGTGACCTGGTGCGGTTTGAACAACTTAGAGCTCAATGCTCTAAAGACAGTGGAGATGGTTGTGGATTTCTGGAAGAATGCAGCCCCACCAGCCCCCATCACTCAGTGTGACTCCCCCGCTTCCTGGGCTCCATCATATCCCAGGACCTCAAGTGGGAGCTTAACATCAGCTCCATCACAAAGAAGGCTCAGCAGAGAATATACTTCCTGAGGCAGCTGAAGAAATTCAACCTGCCAAAGACAATGATGGTGTACTTCTACACTGCCATCATTGAGTCCATCCTCTGTTCCTCCATCACAGTCTGGTACGCTGCAGCCACTGCCAAGGACAAGGGCAGACTGCAGCGCATCATTCGCTCTGCCGAGAGGGTGATTGGCTGCAATCTGCCGTCCCTCCAAGACTTGTTCGCTTCAAGGACCCTGAAGCGAGCAAGAAAGATTGTAGCCAACCCCTCTCACCCTGGACAAAAACTGTTCATGCCCCTTCCATCTGGTAGGAGGCTGAGGTCCATCAGGACCAAGACCTCACAACACATGAACAGTTTCTTCCCGTCGACAGTCGGGCTCATTAACAGAGCCCGGGTCCCCCACTGACTCTGTCATCCCCAGGACAATTTCGTACCGGTCACTCCCCTGCACATACAGTGGGGAAAAAAAGTATTTAGTCAGCCACCAATTGTGCAAGTTCTCCCACTTAAAAAGATGAGAGAGGCCTGTAATTTTCATCATAGGTATACCTCAACTATGAGAGACAAAATGAGAAAAAAAAAAAAAAATCCAGAAAATCCCATTGTCTGATTTTTTTTAAAGAATTTATTTTCAAATTATGGTGGAAAATAAGTATTTGGTCAATAACAAAAGTTCATCTCAATACTTTGTTATATGCCCTTTGTTGGCAATGACAGAGGTCAAACGTTTTCTGTAAGTCTTCACAAGCTTTTCACACACTGTTGCTGGTATTTTGGCCCATTCCTCCATGCAGATCTCCTCTAGAGCAGTGATGTTTTGGGGCTGTCGCTGGGCAACACGGACTTTCAACTCCCTCCACAGATCTGGAGACTGTCTAGGCCACTCCAGGACCTTGAAATGCTTATTACGAAGCCACTCCTTCGTTGCCCGGGTGGTGTGTTTAGGATCATTGTCATGCTGAAAGACCCAGCCACGTTTCATCTTCAATGCCCTTGCTGATGGAAGGAGGTTTCCACTCAAAATCTCACGATACATGGCCCCATTCATTCTTTCCTTTACACGGATCAGTCGTCCTGGTCCCCTTGCAGAAAAACAGCCCCAAAGCATGATGTTTCCACCCCCATGCTTCACAGTAGGTATGGTGTTCTTTGGATGCAACTCGGCATTCTTTCTCCTCCAAACACGACGAGTTGGGTTTTTACCAAAAAGTTCTATTTTGGTTTCATCTGACCATATGACATTCTCCCAATCCTATTCTGGATCATCCAAATGCTCTCTAGCAAACTTCAGACGGGCCTGGACATGTACTGGCTTAAGCAGGGGGACACGTCTGGCACTGCAGGATTTGAGTCCCTGGCGGCGTAGTGTGTTACTGATGGTAGCCTTTGTTACTTTGGTCCCAGCTCTCTGCAGGTCATTCACAAGGTCCCCCCGTGTGGTTCTGGGATTTTTGTTCACCGTTCTTGTGATCATTTTGACCCCACGGGGAGAGATCTTGCGTGGAGCCCCAGATCGAGGGAGACTATCAGTGGTCTTGTATGTCTTCCATTTTCTAATAATTGCTCCCACAGTTGATTTCTTCACACCAACCTGCTTACCTATTGCAGATTCAGTCTTCCCAGCCTGGTGCAGGTCTACAATTTTGTTTCTGGTGTCCTTTGACAGCTCTTTGGTCTTGGCCATAGTGGAGTTTGGAGTGTGACTGTTTGAGGTTGTGGACAGGTGTCTTTTATACTGATAACAAGTTCAAACAGTTGCCATTAATACAGGTAACGAGTGGAGGACAGAGGAGCCTCTTAAAGAAGAAGTTACAGGTCTGTGAGAGCCAGAAATCTTACTTCTTTGTAGGTGACCAAATACTTATTTTACCGAGGAATTTACCAATTAATTCATTAAAAATCCTACAATGTGATTTCCTGGATTCTTTCCCCCCATTCTGTCTCTCACAGTTGAAGTGTACCTATGATGAAAATTACAGGCATCTCTCATCTTTTTAAGTGGGAGAACTTGCACAATTGGTGGCTGACTAAATACTTTTTTTCCCCACTGTACCTTTTAATACACTTGACACTTTTACACTACACTTACATCTCACTTGTTTATAGTCCTGTTATCTGTTCGTTTGTGCACTTTATTTTATATTCCACTTTATTTTATATTTTACTTATTTTTATATTTTTCTGTACATTTTAATGTGTTTCTACTTTGCACTGTTGATTGTTGTTAAATGTTATGCACCTCCCGTCATGTCAAATTCCTTGTATGTTCATCATACCATGGCAATAAATGGTTCTGATTCTGATTGTGAAAATCTGTACAAAACTTGCTATGCTTAATAACAGTCATGGCCTGAGGATGTCTACAAGCCATTTTTCACACAGTCATAGCACCATCTACTGGCAACAGGAAGTCAACGTTATTCCACAAACTGAATCCACTTTACATGACATTTACATGGGCTGCTTTTTTACACTTTCTCTCGGGCCAAATAGTGGATACAGAAGGTGGTGGAATATTTGCAATACATAATTTTCCTCGTCACACACTCCACACAAGAAAAAAACGTCTAACTCGTACACGCTGTGTCTGGTGGTCACAGACATTCAGGCCGCGTCAACCAGCGTCTCGCAAGTACCCCCGACATGTGCAAAGGTGTTAGGGCCAGATAATCGCTGCTGGCAGCTTTAATTCATGTTAAGCTAGATATATCGTCGATTTGAGGTGTTAACAGAAGTCCTGTCTTACTTAACCTATAGCACAAACATCAGTATCAGAAACTTGTGACAGAAAAAAAGCAGCCCAAGTTGACTTATCACAGTTCTTGATATCTTGAGTAGCCCTGACATGCATTTATTTTCTCGAGGAAGCTTATGTCAGCTAACGTGTAGCATGCATGTGAAAACTATGTGTGGAGCCTCCATAGCTACATCATGATTCACATAAACTTTTACTGTCCCCGTGATAGTCCACCTCTCACAGATTCACAGATGTGGCTCTATGTGCCTTACAGGAAACGTAAAAAGTTGTCATACATATTTCAGATAAAATCAACACGACATAATTGGCCTGAGAAGTTTAGACTACTGTTAGCTGTTAAGATTCTGTGTCTCTTGTTTAATAACAAGACAACATGGCTGGAATTGTTCAGCTTCACTTAGGCTTCTTTATCTAAATCAGGATTTTCTGGTTCTGTTGAAAATGGGAACAAGAAGTCAAACCCAAATCCAAAGACCAGGATTATATCCAGTAAGAGTGATGCTGTTACCTCCTCCTCAAGCTTAACCACTTTGGCCTGGGCATTGTTGAGTGCCTGGTCTCTGATCTCGATGTGTCTTCTCTGGTCCTCTGTGGTGGAACGCAGCACATTCAACTCCATCTCCAGCTTCTCCCTCTCACGGATTGTCTCTTTGTCTTGAACACATGTACAAACACAATGTCTTTCCTCCATATTTTTTAAGGTGTTGTTATGCACACTATAAGTCACTTATGGTACATTTTAATCCATGCATGGCTAAAATGCAACAGAAACTGATATCAGAACTATCAGATGTTTTGTGTTTCTTCAGACACATCCAGTCAGATACATACGTTGTCACTGACATGCCTGAAAAACACCTGGGGAGGCATGTTGAGTGTGATGGCTGTGTGTGTGTATGTGGCACTCACTCTGTACAAGCAGCTGGGAGATGTTTTTGCAGTTGTCCTCTGAGCAGTCACACTCTTTAGCAGTGAGCTGCTTATTGGCCGTCTCCATACGCTCTTTTAAAACAACAACAGACATGCTCAGATTTCGGACAAACACACAGAAAAATTAGCAGAAAATATAGTCACAAGTGGCCGTTCCGAGTTCTAACCTTTTTTCGCTCAAAAGAAGGAAGCATCAAGCTGGATTTGGGCTTCATTAAGCTGATGAAAGTCACCTCAGTTGGTTTAATTCTCTCTAAAGAACGACTGAGACCAATCACACACTTCTTTTATCATTGCATGTATGCAGCCTGTCAGTACTTGTACACTCAAGGTCTCACCAGACAAGAAGTCTTGGCATAATGGGGACATGTTTTTCACATGCACAGGTTTGGAACTATTGGCGCCACCTATTGAGCGATTTCAAAATAGATTACATACGTGATTTAACATTATTATGTAACATATCTCACCAGTTTTATTTTGATTGGAGAAACTATTTCTCATTAGGGCCCGGGCACCAACGAAGTCGGAGCGGAGGACCTATTGTTCTTCTAAGGATTATTATTATTCTTGTATGTCTTTGAGCGCAAAAAAAGCTTGGGCTACTGGTCAACTCTTGAAATATAGCACACGAGTCAGTCTTGGCAAAATAACTATCTGATATGTGTCGAACTCCAGTATGAGTGATAGTGCCCCCTTTTAAATAGCCCCGACATTGCATTTCACCTAGCTGTATAAAATGTGGTAGGTATATGTAACAGGGTGAGGCGTACAATAAAGCCTCATGGAGGTATACCGTAAACACGACAGGAAGTCGGTCATTTTGAATTTTATGTCATTTTTTGACTGTTTCAAGGCGCCATACTTTAACGAACTCCTCCTGGAGAGTTAACCCAATCGACTTCAAATCTGGTCAGTATAATCTTAAGAGCTTTGCAATGAAAACATCTACAGGCCTATTTTGAAATATAGTCATAGCGGCACCTACTGGTAACAGGAAGTTACAGTCACTATACTTTGGCTTGCCATAGTAGGTGAATCAGATCCACATTAAATTTGTTCGACAATATTCTAAATTTCGACGAAGCCTTACAGTATGTTTGACCTAGATGTACACAATTTGTATTACATGTAGATTTTTTTTAAAAGTCTCTTGGAGCCATATTCTAAACCCAACCGGAAGTCGGCCATTTTTAATTCACTTCAATTGACTTTGATTGACTTCAAATTGTCAGTACAATCTATAGACCTTTGTGATGAAAATGTATGTAACGTTTTTTACCATTAAAGAACATGCTGTTGTGTCTCGACTGTACTTGATCAAATCTACCCCAAACTTGACATGCTTGGTAAGAGTCATGCCTTGAGGATTTGTGAATGCCATTGTTTACTCATGGTCATAGCACCACCTACTGGCAACCATGGCGTTAAACCATGATTCTATAAATGCAGCGGTCCAAACACTGAACCTTTTTAAGGATACTTAAGGGTTTGTGGACACCCCACCAGGAAAAAAGACTTCTCTGATCTAAATATGTGCACAAAAATTGGATAGCAATAGTTTTCAAATCGCCCTTGCACATGAAGTTTTCATAAATAAAGTGAATTGTTTTAGTTCGTTTTGGAACCACGTCACAATGTAAAGTAATTTATTGCAACGTGACATTTGTTAAATAAAATCAAACTGCACCCAACCTAACTCATATTTTAGATTATACTACATAAGTTCCCTTCTTAGCCTAAACTTATTTCTCCACAAAAAAATGTTTTCCCACCTGGAGCTGTACGTTATGCCATTTCTACTCAACACTTAGAGATTTTGAGACCTGCATTTACTTTGATAGTCTGTTATGTTAAATGGTAAAGGGGAAATGGACTTGTAAACATCGAACAAAAAGTTCGGAAATTTGTGTTTTGTAGATTATTTTTCTGTTGTAACAATGCTTCTTGGCAATAAATGTTATACCGTTGGAAAGCCTGTTTATTTACCTTTCAAACGGTGTCCCATTTGTAAGGAACATGCATTTGTGGGATGAGCAGCACAGCTGAGTATGTGGGTTGCGCCCATGAAAAATTTGCCAAATCTTCTCTGCCAATGCCAAACAGCGTATTCTGCCATCGACTCTCGTTTGGTGTTGTTTGGTGGATTGGATGATTGAAGTCTATCAGTAACAAGGAAGAAACGAGACATATTGGCAATTTTACAATTTATTCATTGAACAAACAGGAGCCTCAGTAGCGTGTGGAAGAACCATACACAGCCACAACAACAGCCTGGCACCTCCTCCTCATGCTGGTCACCAGCCTGGTCACACACTGCTGTGGGATGGCATTCCACTCCTCAAGCACGATTTGTCGTAAGTCAGCCAACGTGGTTGTGTTGGTCACTCTGGCACGAACAGCTGGTCCCACAAGTGTTCACTTGGGTTGAGGTCAGGACTGTTGGCAGGCCATTCCATCCTCTCTACTCCCAAATTCTGGAGGTAGTCTCTGATAAACCTGGCTCTGTGGGGGCGAGCGTTGTCATCTTAGAGACTTAGAGGATGGAGTTTAGTCCCAGACTGTGGAGAAATGGGATTTCCACTGGTTGCAGAATCTCATCTCGATATCTCTCTGCATTGAGATTGCCTCCAATGAAGACAAGCCTCGTTTTTCCAGTGAGGGAGATGCCGCCCCACAGCATCACACTGCCTCCACCAAAAGGTGTTCCTCTATGGGTGCAGCAATCAGCATAGCGTTCTCCCCGTCTTCTCCACACTTTGACCCTACGATCCAACTTCCTGCAGAATCTGGAATCATCGCTGAACATAACGTTCCTCCACATGTTCAGGTTCCAGTGCAGGTGTTGCCGACACTGGCAGAGAAGATTTGGCAAATTTTTCATGGGCACAACCCACATACTCAGCTGTGCTGCTCATCCCAGAAATGCATGTTCCTTACAAATGGGGCACCGTTTGAAAGGTAACTAAACAGGCTTTCCAACGGTATAAAATTCATTGCCAAGAAGCATTGTTACAACAGAGAAATAATCTACCAAACACTAATTTCCGAACCTTTTGTTCGATGTTTATTAGTATAGTTCTTTACGAGTCTTCCGAACACTAAAAGCACTTTGACACTACATGTCATCATACACCCATTCATACACTGATGGTAAGACTGAGATCAATCACACTCTTGTTTCATCGTGACAATGTATGCAGCCTGTCAGTAATTGCACACTCAAAGTCCCGCCGGTCATATGTCTTGGCTTTTCTGTTGTTTTAACAGCAAATTCAAAATAACTAGCAACAAGTTCCATTTTATGGATTTGTAGGGCCCCCTTATGGTTGATTTTAATAAAACTTTCAGAGTATGCTTCAGTCCCTCTTGTGGACATATTCTACATGTTTTGTGGCGATTGGCCCGAGGGTTTCTGACTTTGGTCAACTTTTGTAATGAGCCACGCCCTTTTTATGCTCATTGGTCAATATCTGGAAGACTGCATAAGTGTCACGGGGCATGATGAGGACTCAAGCGCAGACAGTCAGAGTAGGGGAAAAAGGTCTTTAATAGCTCATGAACAAAAACAGGTAATCCAAGGACAAGACAAAAGACGAGGGGGAAAATCCGGCAGGACAAGGCAGGGCAGACAGACTGGGAACCCGGGAACAGGATGAGTAAAAACGGGTGTGTAGGAATGAACACAAAAACAATGTTTAAATAGTGGAGGCAGAGTGAGCAAGTGAGAGTCATGAGCTGATGAGGTGAGTGTGACTGGCAGGTGCACTGAATGAACTGATTAGGGACAGGTGAAGGGAGTGAGGAGCTACAGAAAAACAGACATGGCAAAGCCTGATTGTGACAATAAAATATCAAAAAGCATTTGATAACCTTATACAATGCTATTCCAATAATCATCTTCTGAAAATTTGGTAGCAAATGGTGGAAAATCTAGTGGGTGGACCGATGAATTCAGGGTTGCAATTTTGTAGAACACATTCAGCTGGACATTTGTGTTAATTTCAACTCAATTGGACTTATCGCGTGAGGGTGGCAAGTGCCTTTTGGTTTTGCGCCACCTAGTGGTCAATGTTTATTAAAACTTTCGGGGTATGTTTCATGTACTCTTGTTGATACATATTGAAACATTTGTGATGATTGGCCCAAGGGTTGTTGACTTTTGTCTGGTTTTGTGCTGAGCCACACACTTTTTATGCTCTTTTGAAGTTCATTGGTGAATATCCTAAAAACTACATAAGATATCAACAAGCTTTTGATTAGTTAGTTCAAAAAAAAATTCAATATGGCAGAAAATTCAATTCGAATTATATGGTCCAAATGGTGTTTTTGTAGAGCAGACTGAGCTGGACGTGGGTGTACAATTTCAAGTCAATCAGACGAGGTGAGAGGCGTGGCCTTTCAAAAATCCAATTTTCAATCATCATTAAAAGAATAGGTCCTCCGCTCTGACGTTGTCGGTGCTGGGTTCCGAATAATTCCTCAAGTTTCAATAGGTCCCCGCCGACCATGGTCGGTGCTCGGGCCAAAATAATTTAACTATTTCAATAGGGCCTTCGCAGAAGAAGAGCAGTAGGTCCTCCGCTCCGACTACATCGGTGCTCGAGTCCTAATAATAATAATAATAATAATAATCATTAGAAGAACAATAGGTCCTCTGCTCGGGCCAAAATAATAATTGCTGCAATAACAAAGAATCAGCACCTGCAGTCGGCCTTACCTCTTCATACCCTCTTTCCCAGTTAATTCGGAATACAACCAGGGAAGAATGAATGTTGGATTAAATATCCGACTGTGCCATAATTCTGTGTATTAATTAGCCACATGCTTATGTTTGTCTGAGAAACGACAGAATACTCTGTACACAAGTGAGTGTGAACAATGAACAGATAAAGGAAGATAAATTTACCTATTACTATTACCAATTATAGAAAGGTTAGTTAGCTTACAGCATAGCCAGTAAAGTTAACATTAGTAAAGTTTATCACCAAGTGTGAAGATGTTTTTATTTCTGTTATTATAGAGCTGATTGTAGAACTGCAAACCAGAAGGAACGGGACGATTTTGAAAAGGGAGTGGAGACCTGGAGTTGCCAAAGTGTGTCTCTAAGAAGATGAAGAAGTGAGGCATTCAAATCCTCTCACTGTTTGATCTCTTAACAGTCATGTAGTTCATGCAGTTCACATTTACATGTGTAAAATGTGTGTGTAATTATTTATTTTTCTTCTAAACATGCAGTACCTCTTCAGTTTTGGAATACAAATGTTCCGAATATTATCTGTCTTCCAAAGTCAGCTGTATGAATGATTGAGGACATGTAATAATCTACAGCAATATTGTATTGTACATGAATTATTATGTTTCCTACTGTTTTTGTTGTGGGGAATTAAATGCAATAGTAGCAGATTTTATTACCCTTTGTAAATATGGGGTAACATGCTAGTATATACTTTAAAATTACCCTAAATACTTTTATTATTATTATTATTATTATTATTATACTATCACATAATGTAATCCAATATATCATAAGACACAGTTAACATAAATTCCAGTAGCTGCACCGTAAAATAACAGTAAATTACTGGTGTCTCTGCTGTCAATATTTTACCATTATTTTAAGGTGAAATTGTTTAGAGTGCACCTTCAACACTCCCAGCGGACTCTACAAGTACCTAGTCCTGCCTTCTCGTCTCCAGCTGTCTTTCAGGCCCTGGTAAACGATGTCCTCCATGAACTACTAAACAAGTCTGTGCTCGTCTATCTGGACGACTTCCTCATCTTCTACCCTGATCAAGAGACCCACGTCCAACATGTCCAGCTGGTCCTGCAACGTCTTCTGGATCAACAATTTTTCATTAAGGCTGAGAAGTGTGATTCCTACTCTCCTACAGTTGCCTTCCTCGGATTCATCATTTCCCCGTACTGTATACAGATGGACCCTTCCAAGGTCAGTGCTGTTGCAGAGTGGCCTACGCCTACTAGCTGAAAGTTGGTTCAGCGGTTCCTAGGCGTTCGTTAACTTTTCTAGACGGTTCATAAACAACTTTAGTGCTAGCCTCTCCCGTGCATGCTCTCAAATCTCCCAATGTTAGGTTCCAGTGGACTCCCCAAACTGATTAGGCTTTTCTCAGACTGAGGGAGAGTTTCACCTCTCATTCTCGCTATCCTAAACCCCCACCAGCAATTCATCATGGAGGTGGACACTTCGGAGCGAAGCCAAGTCCCCACGGATTGAGCTACTGCTGTCCCTTATCTGTTTACGTGTGTGTGTGGGGACAGCTCCTTCAGTAATCAATATACCATTACTGTGATTACCTTTGTACTATTATCAGTGTATTTCACCAGCAATAATTACCTTACTACTACTGTTTCACATCTTCTATCTTCCAGCACCACACTGAAAGTAACTGGTTTTACACTGAAAAATGTCCAATGTAGTGGAATAAAATAATGAGAGTTTTACCTCACATGTTCACAGTGAATCTTCCATCACTTCTCAGACAAACGGATGGCTAATTATTAAAAATAGAAAGCTGTTGGACCTAATCTACCAATCATTGTTCTCTGGTTATAATAGGAGGAAGAGGGTGTGAAACATTAGATTCATCACCTGAGTGCAGGCGATTAATCTAATTGCAGGGAGTGTGTGTTTTATCAAAGCAAATTTGCTTTTTGACAAATAAAGTCATGACCTTCATTAATTTACTTCAGGCTTAAAAAAAAAGTTGATCTCGTCCATACATAGGAGATAATCTTGTACGTATGACATAATAACTTCGTATGAGACAATATCTCATACATAAAAGATAAACGAGTAAAAAAAAAATGTACCTTGCCTCTTTTAATTGTTATGAATGTTCATGATAGGATGTTTATGATATGATGTTTGTGATATGATAAAGAATTAAAAGTGTCAGTTTTAAAAAAAATAGCCTGAATAAACCTAAATAATTCTTCAACTTAATAAATGGTATCTTTTTTTTCCAATAAAATCAAAACATCACTTGTGCATGTACACAAAGAACAATGGTATTTTTAAATCCCTATTTTTCATTACAATTGGCCAACAAACCTTCTAATAAGCTTCTCAGTGGTGACTAAAGTATAAATGTTTTTCATGTATGGGGACACTTAACCTGTCAACACTTTTCCCCAATACATCTTGTTTTTTATTTTGTTTTTCAATTCCTGCTTAAAACAAAGAATAATGTATGCCTGTTCCACCTGTGTAGTAATATGTTGAATTTGCATAAAGACTGATTTCGACAGTTATTGCATGGTTATTGTACCGCCTTGCTCTCTCACCTCTGAGGTCTCTGTTGAAGTCGTGCAGCCGGCGCACCTCCAGCTCCAGTTTATTCCTCATGGTTTTCTCCAGGGCCTCCCTCTTGGAGGAAGACTTGGCAAGGTTTTCATATGCCTCTGACACCAGCTGGATCTCTGTCTCCAACTGCCCACAGACACAGGAGAAATGAAAGAAAAAGAGTGGAGACAGGGAGATGTATAAAATTGTTATCCAAATGTTGCATAATTTATTTTTACACTGCATATCCATATTCACATCCAACTAATGACATGGGTCAAATCTGGCCTCACCTAAACACCGTTTACAGCCTGATCTTCACCAATAGTGAGGTCTTCACTATTCACCCTGCCATGTCTGGGTGTTTTGGTCTGAACAATCTAAGAATCTAAAGTCAAACAGAATTCTGTGTTTGTCCAAAAAAAAGGGTTGAGTGAATTATTTTAAATGAGTTAACTCAGGTCAACTGAACTTCAAATGTTAGACCAGCTTTGCACTGAAAATTATATCATGAAATTTGGATGATGAACAGCACTCCAAACACGATAACAAGTGAATTTGCATGAGAGTTGTATCGCTCAAATATGTGATCTTTGAAGGACACAGATCCAATGTCTCTTATGCAGTTCCACTCTACTTCGCAAGATCAAAAATGTGTCCAGTATCACTTTTAAATTAGGGAGAATATGTCTATGATCATTTAAAGCTTACCTTGTGCAACTTGGTGACTTTCTCGCGGCAGGCCTCCATCTCCTGCCTGAGCATCCTGTTCTCCTCCTTAAGCACATCTACCATCTGGTGGGCGCGCACCATCATGCTGAAAGGCTCCCCTTGCAGGTGGTAGTAGGAGTACGGGTGAGGGAAATGTTCGGCCTGGACTGGTGTCTGGGGCTGGGGAGGTGAAGGTCCTTGGAACTGCTGCTGCTGATGTTGTTGATACTGATGGTGCACCCTCGGGGTGGATTCGTAGGGGTCATGAGGTAAACCGAGACTTCTTGGATGTGTCGGGTGAATGGGCCCCAGGCTGAAGAGCTCGCCTGCTTGGTGGGAGCTGGGAATCTGCGGACTATGGAGTCCCATACTAGGGAAGGGCTCTCCCTGGCTCTGGGGGTGCTGGTGAGGGAAGGAGAAATGGGAGGAGTGGGTGGCACTGAGCATGCTGCTTAGGGTGGAGGACTGGGTGCGGGACAAGGAGCCCACAGAGGAGGTGGGACTGTGGTGATGAAGGGGCCTCTGGATGTAAGCCGAACTCTCCTTACTGGACCTGAGGAGAGATCAGCTGTGTGTTTACACTGTTTTCGACCTTAGCTGCTGTCTTGTGTTGATGTAAGTGTTATAGGCTGACTATAGCTGTTATAGGCTAATTTCATTCAAATTTGACTCAAAGAGAAAACCGCTAGCAAAAGTGGACTGTGGGTGCTTTTTCTTTGTTCACTGATAGAAACAATAAGAGTTTGGTGCGTCATTGGCCATAAGTTAAGCATATTAATAATAAGCATGATCTATACAGCATCTTTCACAAAAGAGAAGATAGTAGAAAGTAGTGCTGGGCAAGTTAACTCGTTATTATCGCATTACCTCATTAATTAATTAATTAATTAACGCCGACAATTATTTTATCGCGCGTTAACGCAGTTTTTTTTTTATTATTAAGCGGACATTTTTAACACAAGAACCGGCCAGCAGCGAGCGGTGAACAGCTGTTTGTGTGGCGTCTCTTCCTGTTTCCTTCACCTACATTCCCCTGGGTCCTAAGTCCCTCCATGTACCGCTTCTTATCACCCTCTATGTACCAACGTACATTTATAACAAATACCACACATATTACGGTAATCAGCATTGCATATGTGTCTGACCAAAATACCAAAAAAAGCAAAAAAGCAATGATTCATTTAAATTATTTTTTTAGAGTTTTTAAAGTTGTTTTGTTTGGAATTTGTATAATAAGCATCACATTTAGTTATCGCTACTGAGAATTTAACAAAAAAAAAAAACGTAGATAGGTTTGCTGTTTTCAAGGTGTATATTTCAAATTGCATCTATTACACACATGAAGATAAAGTTGTGAACACCGGCTGAATATCTATTATCAGAATCATTATAACTGTATTTTAACTGCTACTGTGTAAAGGGAATACTGCTGTTAAAAATAACCTTATTTGTTTAGTGTTTGCAAATCAAATGTTATTGCACTTTTGTTCATATAGCAGTACTTTTAAAATAAAAGTGCGCAATACACTGCCTTTGAATTCATTATTGAGTTTTGCGTATAACAATGCGATTAATCGCAAAACTATCATGCGATTAATCGCGATAAAAAATAATAATTGTTGCCCAGCACTAGTAGAAAGCTAAAATTCCAAAATCAAATTATGATGGAAAGGAGTCTGTGTGTATGTACTGTATGTTGTTTTGTTCTTGAATAGTTATCAAACCATGTCAGTGGGCATTAGTATAAATGATCTGACAGCATTACTAGATGTGAATCAGGTTAAATGTTGCAATATATCATCCACACTACAATTTGAAAATACAGAAAAGGCTAAAATGATCCCAAAACAGCTGATAATGAATCCTGAAAGTGTTTAATTAAAGTGTAAAACATATTCACGCAACTGTTCTCTCTCACCCACTGTATTCACTGCCTGTCCCATTTTCTGTAACTTCAAATGTGTTTTCAATCATTTATGTATACAAACATGTTATTACCTTATTACTATCCTAGGTCACAGATGAAGTTTATCTGACAGATGATGATGTATTATTATAGAGTAAACTACCCAGCAGTACATGAAGAAATTAAGATTAATCACATATTTATCAGCTGAAACATTAGAGTGACTAACACATTACTGCATCAATACATATATCACAATAACATAATATATAGTATTTTGGATAATGAGTCATTTACTATTGTTTCATTAAGTATATTGCCATGATAATACTTTTATACTTTTTTATTAGTAACATTTGTAAACGACTTTTACTTGTAACAGAGTATTCTACTGTGTTTCATTATTATGTTTCACTAAGTAGAGATCAGAGTACTTCTTCCAGGACTGTATGTTAAAATGTCTTTCTCTCTCTCCATTGCAACTTTTAACAAATCACGCTTGCACATGGAGTTTTCATGAACAGTAAAGTGAATTGTTTTCGTTTGTTTTGGAGCCAGGCTGTAATGTAAAGTGGTTTAATGCAACGTGAAGTTTGTGAAATAAAATCAAACTGCACCCAACCTAAGTTATATGATAGATAATACTACATGGGCTCACTTCTTAGCATAAACTTATTTCTCTACAAAAACATTTTTCTTTTTCCACATGGAACTATACGTTTTGAGTCACTCAGAACCGATTGTCACAACCACCTGCACAAGCAGGCTACCTTTATAAATATATTATATTATATTATATACAGTATATTATCACAGTTCCACTCAAAACATTTGAGGCTTGAGACCTGGCAAAATGACTTCGTGACGCTGTGTGTCAAAGCAGGAAATACCGTCTAACTCGTGCATGCAGTGTCTGGTCACGAAAATGCACGTTGAAAAAAGTGTATAATCGTATAAAAAGAGTCATAGTATGTCGAAAAAACATGACAAGTAAAAAAAGTAGAATGTGAAAAAAACATCATAAAAATCATAGTATAGTATGTCCAAAACAATTCATTGTATTTTATGTAAAAGAAAGTAATTTAAAAGACCAAGTATAACATGTCACAAAATGTAATAGTATAGTATGTCGAGAAAACTCATGAAAAGTCAAAAAATAGAATGTCGCCTCCTATCTCATAGTTTGTGGTTTGATCCCCGAAGTTGCTCCCGATGGTGTGTTTGTGTGTATAAATGGGTGAATTCAGGGCACATTTAGAAACAATCTGAATAAAAACCTGATATCAATGCTGCCAATTACCATTTATATACAGATGGAAAGTGATATCAGACTGACTTGGGAATTAACATTGCAAAGATTAGCACAGATCAACTGATGGGCACTCAGGCTTATGTCAGGCAAGATGAAAAAAAAGCCTGAAAGTAATCCACAGCCCTGAAAGGCTAATTGTAATTAGTTGCATGCACAAACAATATCGTGCTGTAACATGGCTCAACTCCAGTATAATAGTTTGATTGAGCTGATTATGATGTAAAAGCACAGTGTCCTGGTTGTGTGTTTTCAAGACCCATGGGTGACAGATAGGTTATGGTAATTTCAATCAGTGAATCAGTTTTTCAGCAGCTAGGATCATGTTTTATTTAGCTGTAAGAGCACAAATTCCTCAAGCAGAGCTGTGTCATTGTTCTCTGGGTTTAAAACTTTATGCAACACCTTTCACATTACATGCAGATATTTGATTTACTGTGAAAGTATTATTTGGTATATTACAAATATTTATTCTCAAGCATCTTTAAGTGCATATATTTGTGTGTAGGTGAAGGGCTGGGTGTCTGTATATAATCCTTACCTAAACGAGCCATACTCAGGTGGGGGCTGGTATCTGACGTGGGGCACCTCCCTCGAGTGTTCCCTCCCTCTCTGCTCCTGGTAAAAATGGCCTCCAGGCTCCTGCTGCATGGTAGGAGAGCCTATTTCTTTGATGGGGTAGTCTGGAGGCGGACCCCGGTGCTGCGGCTTGTAGTAGTCGCCTGGCGGCCCTGGCCGGGGCAGCTGGGGGGAGAGCAGGGCGCTGGTGACAGGAGCATGGGCCTTTACGCCGCTGGTGGCCAGGGAGAGCTGCATAAGTCTTTCGCTGAGAGACCGAACATGTCCTTGCTTCAGATCCTTCAGCCCATCATCCTGGTGCACCCTCCCTGTTCCACTCACTCGCTGCACCATGGGGCGACCCTCAGTGCGCACCTTGGCACTGGTCAGCCCGGTGACGTAGAAGGCGGTGCCCACTGAAGCGGGGAGAGGAGGCTGCTGGGGCTGATTGTTCTGCTGCTGAGGCTGTGGAGGAGGACCATGCCCACGGAAATATTGTGACTGCACTTTGGCTTCTTCGTACGTAGGGAGGTCCTCGAGGTTTGGGCACTGCCCCTGGATACTCCCACCCCCTCCACTGCTGCCACCTACTGCTCCTCCACTTCCAGTCACTAAACCTCCTCCCCCTCCACTGCTCCCACCCTCTCCTACTTGGGTTGAGCCCAGTTTCTCTAAGCAGTTGTCTGTCTGCAGCTCCTGTCCCTGGGGCTCCTGACGGGCAATGTGCGGGGTCATGGAGTGATCATCAGAGGGGCCTATCTGTCCCTGCCCTGAGTAACCTCCTCCGATCCCAGACCCTGCTCCTCCTTGTTGTTGTTTCTGCTGTTGCAGCACGTAATTCCGGTTCATCTGCTCCTGCAGGAGGCGCTGCAGGACGGTGCTGCCACAACCTCCAACACTGTTGTTGGACGACTCTTCGGCTGCGGCCCTCATCTCTGCCTGACGCTGTCCACGCACCTCATGGAAGGACAAGCTCCGCCCACGGTCAACACTCCCTGAGAAGAGGAGAAAGTGGAAAGACAGAGAAAGATGAAAGGGAAGCAGTGTGACAAAGGGATGACAATTAGAGTTTCACAAGGGTGAAGAATGTGAAGGAATGGAAAGATAAATTATCCAAGAGAGGGACAGAAAAGACAGCAAAATTTATTACAAAAAATACCAGGGAAAAAGATGCATGTGAACCAAACAAAATCCAACAGCTCTGACCCTTACCACAAAAAAAAACACAAATCAATCAATAAGCACAAGGTAAAATCAAATGTGATATTGTTTTTGTTTTGTCTAATCATGAGTCCAAAACCAAAAGTTTACAATTTGGCCTATATAAAATGGAAAAAAAGTAGCAAACCCTGTCATTGGAGAAGCTGGGACCAAAGAACAATTTGCAATTTGGCTTAAATTAAATGAAACACCACATCAGCGACAAAACAAGCAATGTGTTCTCAGTTGCATATCCCATGTTGTCAAAGCTCAAACCACCTGAGATTTATTTGCTGTGAAGGTGCAAATCAAAGAGGATAATTTACTCGTTTAAAGGGGCCTGTTATAACATATTCTTTCCAATCTTGAGAAGCAAGTGAAATAAGTGATTTTGCCTATTAACATACATTTAAATTCTTCTTACATTTTTCTTCGTATGCCTTTTATATTTTTATGTTTTTATGTTTAATTTTAGTTTTAAAGGGGGGCTGCATTGACTTGATTGATCCATGTGGTTTCTTCTGACAACACTGAATGTTAACAACTACACAATTTTACATCTTTTTCTACAGATTAAAGAAATTATTACATCTAGCACCTTTCTCATTTAGCATTCTTCTCATTCTCAAGGAGGAAGATGCTTTTTTCCGAAACATCTGTAAATAAATAAAAAAAAGTGAGACAAAAGGAAACATGTTAGCTTTGAAGAGATGTCAGCAACTGGTCAATTATCTTCAAGCTGAAGAGACAAAAGACAAAAATAGTATTTACACAGTAAAATGGGACGGGTAGAGGAAGTTCAGATTCCCAAAAAAGGGACTATCACAAAATGAAACATTAGAAAACAAGAAAACTTCCAAGGTTACAAACCTTTCCATTACACATAGATACACTTTGGCATTCTTAAATACACAATAAGAAACTTTCATTTTGAGATTTTTACAAGCTTTCATCTACGCCGCCGCATCTGTTCAGTCGGCTGGACTATTGGGATGTTTTGCTTAGCTGCTCGAATATTGGGATAGTTCTCCAACTTTTAGGCTTGCAAACTGTCAGTGACCAAGTAGTGAGGCAACAAGGAAACAGGAGTTGTTGAAAGAAACTGTTATTTACCCAAGAAATACAAAAACAGCATAGTGGTCAACGTAACTATACTTAATATCACAGCAACTTATCAAGGCATTAACTGCACACAATGACTTACTACAATCACATATGAGAGAAAATATATATGTATATATAAAACTCCAAAGGGTTAACAAAAATGGACACCAACTAATGTTTTGAGTGTAGCTACAATTACAATTTTAGGCCATGTCCACATTACTCCGTTCCCTTTTGAAAACACACGTTTTGCTACGTTTACACTGAGCGTACACACTACGTCGGCGTTTTTGAGCACTGAAAACGGAGGAGTTTGAAAACGCTCCCGAGGACGGATAAGTTTGAAAAATTCGGGGCTGAGTTTTCGTGTGGACAGTCGAAAATGGATACGTTTAGAAACGATGACGCCCACACCTGCGTTCGCTACTTGATTGGTTCTTAGCAGTCACGACGTGTCCTTCCCTGATTCGTCACATGTCTATCACGTGGCCCTTTACCGGAAGATCACAAACAACAACATTGATTACCGATCGACTACCAGGTTAATTTAACATGGAGAACTGATTACAGGTGTTGCTGACCTTGTTGTCTTTACTAGCAGCTGTTGTGCTGTTAAAGTCTGCTTTATTACGGAGGAAGCAGCTGTTATTGGAGCGATCAGTGAGCTGCGTGACCAGCGAGCTGCATGACCAGCGGCGTTATCAGCCCTACTGAAGTCACGGTTAGTGGCTTTAGGGAGGGTGATGGGACACAAAACGGGGGACTTTACTGTCCTTATTAATGCTTATTTTGTTCTGCACAACTATTGTGAAGTCCACACACAGAAACTATAAAGGAACAAAACATTGATTACTTGCGCCATTCACGTCAATCGTGCCACGCCATAGCAAATTTGCGTCACTCCAGTATCATCGTGTCTGTGCATATACTTTGTATGTTATCAACTTACGCGAATAAATTCGCGCCACGTTTGTTGTGAACATGGCATAAGGCCTGTGCTGTTATGAAGCATGTCATATTTCGGTCAGATTAAAGGTAGTAGAGTTACAGCAACTTGTTGTTTAATCGTGAATCATGAAACAGAACAGGAAAGCAGAAAAAAAAGTCAGTGGTGCCAAGCTGCCCTCCAGTCATGACTACATGTTCAGAGTCAGGCAATAGCAGAAAAATCTAGTCCATACCCTTCACACCCTTAACACAACCTGTTTCAACTTCTCCCCTCTAATATGCGCAAAAGAGCACTGAACTAGACACAAGAACAATTTTTTCCCGCAGGCCATCACTATACTCAATCATAAAGTGTCAGAAACAATCTACACATGATAACCCTGTAAGACTTAAACATCCAATTACTAAGACTATAGATTATATTTTTACAGTTGAAATGCAGAGTGCTTTTAACATGGACATATCATTGTGAGTATCAATCCTACATGCTGTATGCTGTATATATCCATCCATTCAATAAGTCAATCCACAAGTTTAGAAAAACACTGTGACCTGCATGCAACTTATTCAGAATCTAAAATGCAAAACCAAAGTCAGGTGTCTGTTAGTCTTAAATTGCAAGTATGCACATGATTTTCCACACTACCACATTCTTTGGTCATCACTCATTTAATCTTAGGCTTACTGTTTGGTTGTTATTGTTTCTCTTTTTACACTTTTCAGATGTTTCTTTTAGTATTTTACCAGACACTCTTGCTGAGAACATATTGTCGACTGCTCTGGAAAAAAATTCAATTTAAAAATAATTAAATAGAGAAAGTGGGAATGTAAGAATAAATACTTCAATGACAACAGATAAAACAAGATACACAGGATAACGTAAACATACTGATATTGTCCTGTTTGTGCTGGAAATGAAAATGTTTCCAAGAAACATGGAAGTTCTGACATTTGCATGTTTTTGATGAAAGCTTAAGTTGAAATACATTTAGTGTTTTAATCTTCTATTCACACCATAACAAGTTAATTGATGGCTTTTTCATTTTCTTTGACTTAGTTTGAACACCTTACAGTCCAAACTAAACTACATCTCCTACCCTGTTTTCATTTCCACAGCATAAACTTGTATTCATCCTGATGCTATTTCTTTTAGAATCACTGGCGAAAACGGGCTCAATAGTTTAAAAAAGTGTCTTACCTTTGTGTCTTCCTCAAGTATGTATATTCTGTATATTCTCCTAAAATCAACCGTAGAGAAAAATAAGGTGGTAATCCAGAGTTTATCTGCTTCACCGAGTGTCTTTCATTAACATCTACCTTGTGCAGGTTTGAGGCAGCACACCTATCTTTCCATTTCCAACCCCCCTCTTTCCCTCATTCCAACAGGTGGGGCTGGGAGGTAGAGACAGGTGGATCTGGCAACCATTCAGCACTGAGCCACTCCTTCATACCTGTGCACCAGTGTAACTGCTTTACTAGCGTTTACTCTGCCAACCGTCAATGACATATATACTTTAGACTGAAACTTCCCCTTTTCCCTGCTTGTGACCTAAACAACAACCACATGGACTACTTGGTAATGTTTCCTTCTTATTCTCTGGGATTAAAAAAAATATATGTGTAAGGCAGAGATTGACGTTCCCCTTTGCTATTGTACTATGCAGATACTCTTTTGTTTGTTTTCATTTCAGAAGGAAGACAGTCCAGTTCAAGACTGTTTCAATCTGATGCAGCAAACAGTGTCTAGACATGTGATTGAAGCAGTCATCAAATCTTAACATGATGACATATACAGCTGATTCAGACAGAAAAACATGGCATATACAGTCACATGACCTACAGCTCCTGTATACACTGTCATTTGGACACATGGTCTTAAGGTATATGGATTTCTCAAATTATTTGTTGAATAATTATTGTGGAGCAGAAAATTACTGATAACCCTAAAAACTGAGTTGAGTGGATTTAAATCTTTATTATGTCTTGACCTGAGGGCAGACACACCATCATGACCGTCTTGTCTTGTTCATGTAATTGGGACAGTTCCTCTCTGTATGTCTGTAGGACCGTAAAAGAAGACCGTACACCTGGCTCAGCTTCAGTACATGTTGACGGTTTGCCCAAATTTTGAAAGGCTTCTGCAGCTCTTTGTTTAAACACTCCACCTCTGCACCTTTTCTTCTTTATGTTCACAAACCAAAGTCAAACTGCTGACCTCTGCATGGTGCCCCAGTGTATTTTGACAGTTTGTTTTATTGTACTGGCTATAATGGGCATAATGTCAAAATATATTTATGAATAGACTTTATTAAGTAAACTTTTGGGAGATTTAGCTCATATATTGTAAATATTGTCATTTAAAATGCTTGGTTAGACACAATAACAAACAGACCAGATGGAGTGAACGTTAAAGAAAAATATTAAATTATAATAACAATGTGAGCCCGTCAGTGGCCAAAACACACACTTTTAGTAGATGTGCATTGACGTTGCAGCCTGTTTTGAGCCGGCTGCAGCACTCTTGCTCAACACTGGACCAATTTCAAAGATTGTTGTTCCCACTCCGAAATTAGCATTTAAGTAGTAAAGTTTTCAGGATGTAGGATGAAACTTGACACCAAGATGTGTGCAGAGCCTGCGTTATTGACATCTAAAGTGACAGAAGCCAGTAGAAACAAAGACATGAGTCAAGCTGGGTGGTGTAATTACAAAATGACATAGATGGGAACCCAACCTCAGGTATTTGAACTGACAGGTAGATGAAACAGATACAGGTTCAACAAGAAAGCTCCCAAAATTTCACACAATGGATAGGATGAAGATCTCGTCTTTACATATTCAATTAATGATGCTGCTCGGATAATAAAAACATCTTTAGCTGGGAAAAGTTCAATTACTTTCTGCTTTCACTTTCAGGAAACTCCCTGTATCATATTCAGTCTCGGGGTGCTGTCCATTACTTACCACAATTTCTACTTCTTCACTGAACAGTTTCGGCTTAGCTGCTGAAAGGCCACACTGGTGGTCACTGCTAAGGCAATTCAAGTTAAATTCAAACCAAAGCAACCTTTCTGTCAACCTACTCAATTTTGCCTCACCTGCAAGCTATCTCTGCCCTTATTCCCGGTTTTCAATGTGCAAAATGAAATAATCTGTCTTTCCGGGATCTTGCTAGGGATGCATAGATCCAGCATTTTTCCTTCCCAATGCCAATAGCTCAACTCAAAGTATCTACTAATACAGAGTACCAATCAAATGCCAGAGCCCTGTTTTACTTAATTTTTGGGAACACTTAATTTTACAGGTCAATAAGTTACATGGTATGTAGATAATTAGCAAGTACAATATTTTAAATGTCTTAGTGTTGAGTAACAATTTACCTCAAATGTTTTAAAAAGCCCTCAAAAATGATTTAATAATTATTGTAAGAGCCATATGAGACTTGATAAGATGTCTTAAGTGATTTGTGTAACAAACATGTGGAAATGCTCCTTTAGTTGCATTACCGACTACGTCACAGCCAGCAGCCCTCAGTTGAGGTTATTCAGTCTGCGGAGCAACATAGTTTTTTGACCGTTGTGCTAACGCTGTGACAAGTTGAGCA